AATTCTTCACTTTGGAAGATTCGGCCAAATATCTGGGCGTCACGTTCGATGTCCGCATGAGTTCCGCGAATCACATAAGTGTAGTTAGCAACAAGGCCAGGTCAGTCATTGGCCGTCTCCACCCTCTTGTTAACAGGAAGAGTAAGATTTTTCTAAGATACAAACTCCTTCTGTACAAAACCTGCGTTAGACCTATCATATCTTACGCAAGTGTAGTCTTTGCCCACACGTATAATTCCCACCTAAATAAACTACAGAAAGTTCAAAACTTTTTCATCCGTAGAGCTACCGGAGCACGATGGTATTAACGGAATTAAGATTTACACAATTATTGTCAACTTCCTACTATCTTCGGATACTTCAAGGAGATGTTATCGCTATCAAAGTAGCGCTGAGACATGAGATGCGACGAACCCGTTAGTGACAAACGCAGCCAACTACGCCCCGATACCGAACGTCACGCCGACTCTTCGTAGACCGCGTAACGTACTAATAGACCAACCACGCTCGCTTGATTCCGTCGACCCAAACGTCGCAGGCACATCATACACTGACACTACACCCACACCAAATGGGACAATCACAAATAGGATAACGGATGGGGCGCGTCGCACCCGTAGACGGGTACGACGCGTTCCAGCACACACCGCGTACACACCGTACAAATTCATAAACCATCATCATCCTCATCCCCATTCTACTTACCGCCTTTCCACTTTTTAAAATAGCTCTGTGTCAGATGAAGCTGTTAGAGCCGCATAGGTTAACAGCACAAACATCACGATAATAGTTTTTATATGGGACCAACAGTCCCATATAAAAACTATTATATATAGTAAAAGTAGTAAAAAAAAATAGTCGATTTAGGGTAATATATTTTCTTACTCCGTCTCCACACGCCCAAAACCTTGTAAAATTTATTTTGCCATATATATTAAGTAAATCATTCAAATAAAATGAATAAATCAATGTATTAAAGTCAAACATTATGAAACAAGGGGAGATAAGATGGTTGGAATCATTGGGTAACAAGCGGAAGTACGGGCGTTTATCTAATACGCATGGTTTTAAGTCAGAGCACAAGCTGTAGATATACCTACTGACCGGCACAAAAAATAACTCGCTATGATTTCTTTAAATAAATAATCTATAAATTATATTCGTGTTTATTTTCGGCCAGAAACAGGTCGCCAAAGACCCTACTCCTTACCCTAGCAATACTACGTAACAGGGCCATGATTGCTGTTGAAGTCAGGAATCGCCTTGCTGCAGTTTGAGATGTGCAAGTGACAGAACTATCAGAAGACGCCTCAATAAAACTGATATCATGGCCAGAATACCTGCACATGGCCCAGAGGTTACCAGGGAGCTTTAAGTACTGTTCACAGATGAGACCCGCTTTTGCTTACGAGTTTGTTTGTCGGATATTTTTTACCAAAGATTAGACAATTACTTAAAATTCAAAGAGAGTAGTTTTTTGTGCCGGTCAGTGTATATTAAATATATCGTTAGAAATTACACTTAAATAATAATATCAGTAGTATATACATGTTATAAAATATTAAATATTATAAGATTTATTTACATAACAATATAAAATATTAAAAAAAAACTATAATAAAGAACTTAATTACTCATGCGGTGCGAAGAACGCTGGCTGCGTTTCCTCACTGAATGGCTATATATTACAGCTTTTGAGCGAGAAAAGAACCAGCCTTTTTATCGCCAGCAGTGACGACTAGTCGTGGATACAGTACCGCGACTGGTCGGACAGGCATTATAGATTTTAAAAAGAATGTACAAGTGCGTTGTAGAGCCAAGCTCATTACAACTGCAGCACGAATGGTTTGTGTCGATCAATGAAGGTCCATGCTCGAACAGAATACCAGCGTAAAATAGGAGCATAAAGCGTGTTTCTAGTGAATGACAAGAACCGAAGATTTTTTTACTGATAATGGGGCAGTAGTCCTCAGGGGTGACAATAGATCTGGCTCAGGCTATCCCTAACGGTGTATAGACATTTGCGCAAACCAGTATCGTTGAGCACAAGTGTGTCCGTTAACACATGCGCACTCTATATTCTACTGTCATAGTCCTAGGGTACGGCAATCCGATACGATAGAGAGATATAATACACAGGACCAACGACTTTTAACTTTCTCCAGAACTTGGGGGTGAAACAACGCCAACTTCTTAACTGGGCTACGACTGAAAATTTCTTGACAGAATACAGAATGACTTTGGTCATCACATAACCAGCAGTGACGTTTAAGATCATGAACCTATTGAAGCGGTCAATTTGATGATGACGTTAATTTATTGACCTTATACCAAATATACTTACTTAGAAGTACTTAGATAATTTTTATAGTATAAGAGTGACAAACGAGCACACAGTCCGCCTGGTGGAGAGTGGATGCTTTAGCCCATAGACATCTACATCTATCCCCGATAAAGAATCAAAATGCAGATGTGTTGTCACCCCTGAGAACTAAAATGGAATGCCTCGTTTCCAATAAAAAAGGTTTTCGCGGTTATCTACACTCACTATACGAAACACAGCAGCATTAAGCTGTTAATTTAGCAGATGCAGCGTGACTCTACCACTTTTAAATTATAAATTAATTAAATAATATCTAAGATTATGCTTGATAATGTATTATTTATTACTTAAATAATATCTAAAGCTTGCTTTTACAAATGTCAGCATATTTACTCTTTTGTTTTTACTAACTAATCAAGATGTGGTAAACATTTTAGTTTGGTTCATAAATGTTTTTAAATGTGGTCGTTTCCCAAACCTTTAAACAATACTTTAATAGTTCTATTAGTTTACGGCTACGATCTTTTAATGAAATTTACGTAGAGTTTGTATTTTTAATTTAACCTAATGAAGCACTCTTAAACCGAGTCTCTCCATTACGAAGGAAAGCTTGCCTTTCTTGAATGATTGGTGATTGCTGCACACTATGCACACTATTGCGTCGCAGACAAACCCCTAGGCAATGCTCGAGCTGTTAAGTCACTTTCAGAAGTTACTTATATTAGATGCCACTTTTATTTGTGACATCGATGTAGCGATTTACGATGAATGTTAATCCATAGATTTAAATAAAATTGAAGTGTCTCTCTATAATTTTGAAATAACTCACTATCTATATAACTCAAAAACTATTGATCAAGGTGAGATCAATAGTTTTAAGTTATTCTCAATAACTTATATTGAAGTCGGCTGTACAAAATTTAAAATATAAAATTATTTTATACTCGTAAATCAAATCTCAGGGGTATGCAAGTTATTAAGATATAAATAATAGTTTTTTAAAATTTTTATCTGTCTTTCTGTCCGTCTGTTTGGGTTAATCTTCAGAATGACTGAACCGATTGTAATGAAATTTCACTAACAGATTGAGAGCAATTCCAGGAGTGGTCTAGATAATATTTTTAAAAAAACCTGGGGATTTTATTGATAAAAACTATTTTTGATAAAATATACTTATCTTTGATTATCTTAAACCTTAACGCAACATTGGTCTACTAGTCAAGAAGAGTGTTACAGCGTATATACGTCCCAACGTTCGGCGCAGGTCCCCTCTCATTTATTAGATCGTTATGAGGGCATCCACGACCTTTTTTGTCACCTATGATTGATTTGAAACATTTGACAGATTACGCGGTAGAGCCATGCTGCAGCTATATTAGTAGTATAGACAGGTTAATAAACAAGTTTAAAAGTTTTATTAAAGAAAAACTGTACAAAGAGGGTTATTATAATATCAAAGAATACATGAATGAAAATGAAAATAACCCCTGGGAATAAGGTGATCGCCATCATGCTGGTTCTACGAAAAATCATTTAAAAATTGTATAAAAGAAATTATTGTTTCTTGCTGGTTCTGCCTTGGACAGAGGTATTTTCCGAATTAGTGGTAAATAAAAATGACTTTCAATAAGTATTATGTAATAATCGATATTGAATAAAAAATTATTCTATTCTATTCTATTCTTAGATGTAGCACGAATGGGTCAGCTCGACTGGGGAAGGACCACGCTCTTACAGAATACCAGCGTAAAATAGCATCTTAACGCTGCTGTGTTTCGTTTGGTGAGTGTAGAGAACAAAAAAAAAAGCATTCCATGTTAGTCCTCACGGGTGACAACGCATCTGTATTTTGATTCTTTATTGAGGATAGATGTAGATGTCTATAAGTCACAGCAACCACTTACCATCAGGTGGACTGTGGCTCGTTTGTCACACTATACTATATAAAAAATAGTATTACATGGCGGGTAAGTTTATTTGTTAGGAAAATGTAAGGTTTAATGTTTCTTTCTGTAATATTACTTATGAAATGAGTAAACTAAGCTACGGATATCCCTAAAAGAAGAAAAATAAAAAAATAGTTAATAAGCAAACCACTGAATTGGTTTGTGTAGTTATATAGCACTAGAAACTGATAAACTGTTATTTAATACTCAATTTCTCAATTATATGACATTGTGCAACAAAAAAAGCTTTCCCTCAGTCTCTACTAGCGACATCTGTTGAACGTTATTAGCTCTCATTAGTTCGACGTGCTGTTCCAGTGCTTGTTAACGGATTTCACATGTCTTCAAAATATTTTTGTTCTTCAGACATGCAGATTTTTTTTGATTACGGTGTTATTTTGACTACCGAGCACGTGGTAAATCAGCAGTTTAGTTACAATTAACGATCTCATTGGTGCCTACAGGAATCGAAGCAAAGCTCGCGTACTGCGACATTTCTGTGTTTACAACGAGCGCGTACCCTCTGAGATATCACGGCTCGATTATGTTTATATGATCATGTATGATTGTAGTTAAGTACTGGCTTATAATAAGCAATAAAAAAAAAATGGATATTTTACATCCTAACATAAAAATGGTTATATGTAACATCGATCAACCTTAGTTTAAATATCGAACGACATCAGATTTTCTTAATTAAAGCGTGTTTTGTTTTATTTTTAGATAAGAACATGGAGGTCGAAAGTGCCAATTGTAAATATCGAGTATCGCAGTGTGAAGATATCGAGCTACTATCTGTAGAACGACCACTGAAGATTGACCTGTGAGTTGCAAGCTTGAGATTATTATAACAATAAGCAGACATAGATTAATAGTAATAAGTAGTCTGGTGTACGTGGTAGAACTTTGTTACAGCCGTATTAAGGCGGCAGCATGAACTGGGAACCACGGTTTCAAAATGTTAGTATAATGCTTCTCCCATTGTATGCAGGATTTGGCTTTATTGCCACGCCTGACTGGTAGATGACTGTTGCGGTGACAGACGTCCCGCAGCTTCGACGTTAGTCCATCCGACCTTCGAGGTCATCAATCGATGGTTTGTTTATTTACGTCTGATGTAAATGAGACGGTTACAACGCCATCTTACATAAACACTGACGGCTGTCACTAAGAGGGATAGGCAGAGACTACGGACTTCCATTTGACGCGATCCTGACACACCTCTGCGCCTCCTTTACATCCATATATCTATGCATACACGCTCGTCGGTTAAGGTTACTCCTAATCTGGCCCATTTTTAATGTATCGCCGATTTGGTCGATAAACCTTCGTCTAGGGCGTCCCTTCCCAACCCTGTCATTCACTTCTGCAACATAAATTTGCTTTGTCACTCTTTCCTCATTCATTATTTCTACATGACCTAACCACCGAAGCATTCCTTTCTTAATCCTTGTCACAACGTCATCTTGCAAACCACACTTTTCTCTTCTACCATACAACATGCAGGATTTGGCTTTATTGCTACGCTTGACTGGTAGACTGACGGTTGCGGTTACAGACTTCACGTTAGTGCATCCGACCTTCGAGATCATCCATCGATGGTTTGTTTATTTACGTCTGGTGTAAATGAGACGGTTACACTGCCATCTATCCGAAGCTATAAACATTAAAGTAATGTACCGTACGTTTTATGTATCCACAGAGGTGACAACACATCTACATATTGATTCTTAAGTGAGGATATATGTAGATGTCTATGGGTCACAGTATCCACTTACCATCAGGTGGACTGTGTGTTAATTTTTTAGCCTTATTCTATAAAAATATCATTATATTTCAATGGCTGTAAATAAGATTTTGACCTCTTATGATCACGGGATGATATAGGGAAATGAATTCTTATTGGCTGGATTCTTTTATGAATTGAATAGAACAGTATATTTTTTTTTTCGATGTAAGTTATAAATATTTTTTTATTGAAAGTATTTTTTTGTTAATTTTCAAGTCATATTGTCTGTCTCCTTGGTTTGACTTCGGCTATCTTTTTAAAAGGCTTGTGGAGGATATACGCAGTAAAACCAGAGTATTTGAAATAGCCCTATGGATTAGTCAGCTGAAGTGGCAATGGACCAGGCATATTGCTTGAAGAACCGGCACCCGATGTTGAAATAAGGTTGTAGGCGAAGTGTAGAGCGGCTCCCTACTAGATGGAGTGACGACCTGGTAAGATATGCAGGAAGTCGATGAATGCAGGTGGCTCAGGACCGTGCTTTGTGGCATTCCTTGGGAGAGTGCTATGTTCACCAGTGGACTTGTGAAGAGCTGTAATGAATGAATGAAAATCTTTTAAAAATAATACTTTTTTCATTGTTACAGAGAGATAAATGCACTAGAGATTTTAGTGCAAGAGCTACATAAGGTATTCTCGAACGATCACGTGAACATCCAAGATGTTCAGAAGTTAATGGCAGCTTACAAGTCCGAACCGAAAGACTGGAAGAAGTACGCCAAGTTCGACAGATTCCGGTGAGTAGCTTTCGCCATAAACAACGATAGACGTGGACAGTCGCCCAGTTAAATTGTCTCTTGCGTACACGAGAGACAAAAAGAAAGTAGGAGATATTTTGTGTTACACAAGTAACGACTTTTATTATAATGTAAATCTAGAAACCACATTAACAAAACAGGTGACTGACCGCTATGTCATACAGCCTTTATAATAATGATTAAATTAAGTAAGTATTAGTTTGAATTAGCAAATTTGTATATTGATATACCGTATAATGGCGGTTAAGAATATCCACTACCCCATATCTTCCCGTGGGTGTCGTAAAAGGCGACAACGGGAAACAGGCAGGAGATAGGCAGCAGCATCTTCCTGATAACAGACTAAGCAACATACAACGCACGCACCGTGAGGACTGACGAAAGATCCCTGAGCTGGAAGAAGAGATAGACAAGTTACGCTGGCATATTATAAGATTATCCGAGGTCCGTAGAGAGGGAGAGGACACGGTAATCCTCGAATCCGGCAACTTGCTCTATCACCGGGAGGGCGACCATCTGTCCCAAGGAGGTGTCGGATTTATCGTCCACAAGTCTCTCGTTAACAACGTTGTAAAGATTGAGAGTGTGTCGACGAGGGTTGCGTACCTTATACTCAGAATCACCAAACAGTATCCGCTGAAGGTCATACAGGTTTACGCACCTACCTCTGCACACCCCGATGAGGAGGTGGAGGAAATGTTTGAGGATATCTCTAGAGCCATGCATTCCTCCAAAACCCACTATACGGTGTTAATTGGAGACTTCAATGCAAAACTAGGCACAAGAGGGAACGGTGAGCTGAAAGTAGGTAAATTTGGAATAGGGCAACGGAACCCAAGGGGCCAGCAGCTGGCCGACTTCATGGAGAAAGAGGGACTGATTATGATGAACTCTTTCTTCCAGAAGCGGCCTCACAGGAAGTGGACCTGGTCGAGCCCCGACGGTTCGACAAAAAATGAGTTTGGCTTCATTATGATGACCAGATGACAACTGTTCAGTGATGTCTGTTCAGCGAGGGTGAAACCTGGTAGCGATCACCAAATGGTTAGAGGCACACTGAACCTAAACGTTAAGTTGGAGAGGTCTCGTCTAATGAAGTCCACGCTCCGTCTCCCTCGTGCTCTGTTCCAAAGTCCCGAAACCTTTCAGCTCGAGTTACAAAACCGTTTTCATTGCCTAGAAGACTGCAATGAAGTGGACCATATGAATGACATGCTCGTAGAAACTGTCCATGCGGTCGGAGCCAAGTTATGCAAGACCCGCCGCAGAAGAACACAAAAACTCTCCGATCACACTCCTAATCTCATGGCTGTTAGACGGGATATGAAGCTACATTTTTCAACAGATTTGACAGCATACAGGCAACTGAACAGACAGATCTCCAAATGCATGCAGCGGGACTTACCCAACTTCTATACAGCTTGATTTGAAGTAGCGATCGAGCGGAACCAAGGCTCCAAAGTCTTTGCCGGAGATCTGTCTGCCAGAAAGAGCCAACCTTCAAATCTGAAGACCGAGTGTGGCAGCATTGTTTCCGGGACACCTGAGATTTTGAGTGAGATTGAGAGGTTCTATGGGCAGCTGTACACGTCATCGTTGAAGCCACATGCAAGTGTGACGGCTCCGTGGCGCAGTGGCTTAGCAATCAGTTGTTGCGCTGGGGGCCGCGGGTTCGAATCCCGCACGGAACAAGTATTTGTATGGCCTACAAATAAATTGTTCCGGGTCTGGATGTTTGTCCTTGTGCAATTTATGTTTGTAAACTGCCTCCACGACACAGGAGAAAATCCTAATGTGGGGGTAACGTTTTTTTTAAAGAAAAAAAAAGTGTGAGTAACGATCTAAGAGCGAGTCTTATCCGACACTATTCCGAAGATACTCCGTACGTCAGTCTGAGCGAGATTAGAATGGCTCTCCAGCACTTTAAAAACGACAGGGCCCCAGGTGAGGATGGAATTACAGCGGAGCTTTTGAAAGCGAGTGGAAAACCGGTACTTGAAGTCCTTCAGAAACTCTTTAATTTCGTCCTCCATGGTGGCATTACTCCAGAGGCGTGGAGCAGAAGTGCGATGGTCTTGTTCTTCAAGAAAGGCAACAATGCTCTCTTGAAGAAGTACAGACCGATTTCCTTTATGAGCCGCGCCTACGTGCTGTTTTCAAGAGTCATTACGAATCATCTCGCGCGCAGACTTGATAACTTCCAGCCTCCTGAACAAGCCGGTTTCCGAAAAGGCTTTAGTGCCATAGACCACATACACACCCTTCGGCAAATTTTACAGAAGACAGAGGAGTATAATTTGCCACTTTGCCTTGCGTATGTGGACTGTGAGAAAGCCTTTGATTCCGTCGAAATTTGGGCGGTGCTGCAGTCTCTTTAGCGGTGCCAAGTTGAGTGTCGGTATATCGAAGTGCTGAAGTGTATGTATAGTAGAGCTACGATGGCTATCCGAGTTTTTTTTTATAGGTGTGTGTGTGTGAAGTGACTACCGCCGCCCATGAACAACCGCAACACCAGGGGAATTGCAGATGCGTTGCCGGCCTTTTAAAAAGGAGTAAGCTCTTTTCTTGAAGGTCCCTAAGTCGTATCGGTCCGGAAAAATCGCTGATGGTAATCGATTCCACAAGAAAGTCGTGCGAGGAAGAAAACATCTTCTAAATCGCACAGTGGTGGACCGCCAATCATCCAGATGGTGTGGATGGTATCGGGAGTTCTACCGCGATGTGTGTTCATGAAATTTGGCGGCTGGGATTAATCCGAACAATTTCTCAGAGCACTCCCCATGGTAGATGCGAAAGAAAATGCAAAGAGATGCAACATCTCTTCGCAGTGCCAATGAATCGAGCCGGAATCGGAAAGGGCTCGGTCGTCGACGATTCGAGCCGCTCTGCGCTGGATGCGGTCAAGTGGAAGGAGCTGGTACTGGGGAGCCCCTGCCCAGAGATGGGAACAGTATTCCATGTGAGGCCGAACCTCCGCCTTGTAAAGTTGCAGGCGGTGTGCCGGCATGAAATACTGTCCCGCTCTGCTGAGCACGCCAAGCTTTTTAGAGGCCAATTTGGCCTTCTCTTCCAAGTGACCACGAAACTGCACGTCATTCGATATGTCGACTCCGAGGATACCGATACTGGCTGAGGCAAGAAGGGGAGTGCCTTGAAACTGAGGAGATACGACAAAGGGGTTCTTTTTAGCGGTAAACGCGCAAACTTGTGTCTTCTGAGGATTAAACTGGACTAGATTTAGTCGCCCCCAATCCGAGACTTTGTTCAGCAAAGACTCGACTTCAGACACAAGTTTGTTCCGGTACTCGGCGACGTTTTCCCGAGAAATATTGGCCCGGCCGGTGTATAGAGCATCACCAGTGCTGTCATCCGCATAGCAATGAATGTTACCAGTTAGCAACATATCATTGATATGCAGAAGAAACAGCGTTGGTGATAGCACACAGCCTTGTGGAACACCAGCGTTAATAGGCTTGTAGTCAGAACATGCACCGTCTACAACGACCTTGATGCTCCGATCTGCAAGGAAGCTGGTGATCCAATTGCACAATTTCTCGGGAAGCCCATAGGAAGGGAGCTTCGAAAGAAGCGCTTTGTGCCAAACCCGATCGAAGGCTTTCGCAATGTCCAGACTAACGGCCAACGTCTCCCCCTTGGACTCTACTGCCTCCGCCCATCTATGGGTCAGGTAGACCAGAAGATCACCAGCTGACCGACCCCGACGAAAACCGTATTGGCGGTCACTAATCAGCTGGTGATCCTCAAGGTACCGGATGAGCTGGCAGTTAATAATGGATTCCATTATTTTGGAGAACAAGGAGGTGATCGCGATAGGTCTATAGTTGGACGGGTCTGAGCGGTCGCCTTTTTTAGGGATCGGGTGGACAAAAGCTGTCTTCCATGAATTCGGGACTACGCCTTGGGAGTAGGAGTACCGGAAAAGACGCGTTAGGACCGGTGCCAACTCCGGAGCACACGTCCTCAGCACAATTGGGGGGATTCCGTCAGGCCCACTCGACTTCTGGATGTCCAGGGAGAGAAGTGCTTTGCGAACTGAGCGCTGTGAGAATAGCACATCCGGCATGGAGCACTCACATCGCGGGATGGTCGGCGGTATTTTCCCCCCGTCATCAAGAGTCGAGTTGGACGCAAAAAGGGAGCCTAAAAGGTCGGCTTTGTCTTGTGCGTCTTGGGCCAGTGAGTCGTCCTCCCTGTGCAGAGATGGTAGTGATGTCTTACAGAAATTCCCTTGGACAGCCTTGGCGAGAGACCAGAATGCACGGGTTCCCGAAGGAAGGCGAACTAGTTTCTCGCCAATCCTGCCTATGTGCTCTGACTTTGCCTTGGCAATAACTCTTTTGAAGGACCTGGAGGCGAAGTTATACTTCTTTTTTAATGTGCTGGTGTTTAGATCCCGAGTCACCGAAGCCGCAGCCCAGGCTTGATAACACTCCTGCTTACTGCGCAATGCAGTCTTACATAATCAGACTACGAAACCTATCCAACTGCAGAGAGGTGTAAGACAGGGTGACGTTATATCCCCAAAACTCTTCATCGCTGCATTGGAAGACGTTTTCAAGCTGCTGGACTGGAAAGGATGCGATATTAACATCAATGGCGAGTACATCACTCACCTTCGAATTGCCGACGATATAGTACTTACGGCAGAATCGCTGGAGGACCTAAGCACTATGCTCAATGACCTTAATAGCGTCTCTGATAGGTCTTAAGATGAACATGCATTAAACAAAGATCATGTTTAATGTCCATGTCACACCTACGCCGGTAGTTTTATGGAGCACTAAGCTCGAAGTTGTTGACGAGTATGTTTACCTGGGACAAATAGTCCGACTAGGTGTCAATCGACGGATTCAACTCGGCTGGGCAGCGTTCGGGAAACTACGACACATCTTCTCGTTAGACATACCTCAAACCCTTAAAACGAAATTGTACAACCAGTGCGTGTTACCAGTGATGAC